GTTATGCACAAAATAAGTGTGTTAACAGACTAGTCGTTGCTAGGTTTCAGTATACGGTTACTGAATTATATTTCCATTGCAGTAACAGTTTAGAGCAACTTGTTTTCAGCGCTGGCCTCTATGAGAATCTCTATGCGCCTTGGCAAACCAATAACCAGGCAATACATCTATTTACTTTCCGTATTTGAGCCTTTATTTTACCGGACTCAACAATCCGTTCTTATATATGGTTTACTGGTTGATAGAAGAGAGTCAATCCCAATTGTGACTGTACGTTCTTCTGAATCGTTTCAGTGAACAAGTACCGGAACCTTCGACCAGCTTATCTGCTGTCGATGATTATGCTCAGTCAAGCCTCAGTGGTGCCAGTATTTCTTTTGAGTCACCCAAAGAAAAATCATCTCCAATCTATGAATATGTTTCGCGTATGCCAACATACCGGCGACGCTCCATTCACCCCGACCGGCCTGGGTTGGACAGTCCTTACACGGATTTTATGCTCCCTGAAACCAGATCCACCGTATCTTCGACAGGATATTACAAACAGTCGAAATACCACAAACCAATGGGATCTTACTCTGTGAAGTCATCGATCGGTGTGAGATCCGTGAACTGGTTACGTATTCCGTTTTCTTTGACACTTTCGTTTGTTGGCGCGCTGTGGTACACGGTGACAAGCGGTTTTCGTCGCCTGAAAAGTGAGTTCCAAACACCTACTTTTTCATGTCACTGAGTGCTGTTTGATGTATGCTAACACTAACGTGCGCAACCATTGAATTCTTCTCCCCAGCTATGTTCAGAACTGTAATTCTGTTCTGCGCAGTGTTCTTCCGTTGTCTGTTTCAGATTGCCGATTAATGAATGATATAATAATAGTGATAATAATTTATGTCAATCGAAATGAACCAAAGCGCATCAACACGACCTTTTGATATCATTTTCGGTTTGAGCTTCGTTTATTACCATCTATGAACCCGCTCAGGACTCTGCTTATTCTTTGATCTGCACCAACTTTCACCGATGTAAGGATAAGTGGGGCTCTGTGAAGAAGCTTGAAGATCTGTCTTTGAGGATGCACAGTGAAATGCTGCATGTAGGGAAGTATTATGTCATGGTGATGGGCTCATTCGGTCATCGACCAGATTCACACGCATCAGGATGCTTTCCATGAGCATTTTCCCCTTTTTTGTCAATATATAATCTGTCAGGTGAATATTCGCCCCGTCATGAAAAATTACTGTTGAGCTTCTTCGACCGCTTGGTGAAAGAAGCATTGTTTGCTTAGTTAATTTTAACCACCTAATTTGAATTCCTTGCATCGGAGACCTGAGGACGCCCCCTTTAGTGTACGGCTTCTCTAGTTGTTGCATCTGAATAGTCTATCGCCTCAGAGTCAAGGCTTTGAGGCGGCTATTTGCCTTATTTTTAAAGAAATACAAGGATGTTCGACCATAATATTACAATACTACTGTTTATATTCATCGACTATGTGCCGAGGAAAGTTTTTTTCGTGTTCCACGTGGACACGCAGGCTTTATTACGATTCCTTCTTTTCATGTTCCAGGCTCTTCGGCACTCGGTCACATCTCATTCCGTTTGATCGCTTGCCTGTTTCTCGTTGGATTATTGGTTTTGCTTGTCACCAAGCTACTCTATGGGGATCCGTTTTATCACAACCCGGTGAATGATTTACGCGGTTGGATGCAACGTCGACGTGCTTAGTCCATGATCGGTTTACTCATTTTGTCATTCCATCCACCCCTCTTTTCTTACCTGCCATGCAGTTCAGGGAACATACTGCAAACGAAAAAGTGGCATTTTGTACGCATTTCAGGCACGCCTTTGCTACCCAACCATACATGCCTTCCTGTTTTCTTATGTCTTGACAATTTCTAGCCGTCTTTTTTTGAATTTAAGCCGCTTCCAAAACAACCAATCCGTTTAACACTTTTCGTTTTATTTATAAAACAATGAGAAATGTACCCGGGGATATTTGAATTTCTGTTTAACCTAGATCTGACCGCTCCATTAGTCCAATCAAAATGATTGGTTAACATCAGATACCAATTTCCTGTGGATTTGTGAGAGTAAAGACTAATGCGGCAAACGTCCAGCAATTGTAATAACAACCTTGGAAAATTGGCATTGATTCTATCTGAAGTGGGTATCTTAATAGCGAGACGCACATCTGTTTTTTTGCAAAAATTTTAAAAGACTCCCCAGAAGACATTTCCAGTCTCTATTTAGTTTCGTTGTTATTTCTACTGGTTTATTAGGGTGTGACCGATGTCATGCTTCCGTGCCAAACCGTCGAGTACTTGATGATAAACAAAAGGTGAACAACTACCACATGGAGTCAAAATGACTTCTATAAACCTTTCGTTGAAACAGAATAGAACCATACGTTATCTATTCAATTTGCTTCCATTTATTGAATATATACTGATACAATCTTCAGAAAGGGGGAAACGGTCGATCATAAGGTTTCTATACAACACAGAATGGAGGAAGTCAGTTGATGGTATTCCAACTCAAGTTCTCCGGAGCGGTGATTTGATAACCTTTACCACTCGACCACTAACACCCAGTCTGTAACGACAAATTTACCAGCTAAGATCACCGTGGAATACTGCTTTTGCACCAAAAGTACAAAACTATTTTTCTTATCTTCCGACCCTCATTGAAAGATAGTGAAATTCGAGATATTTCATACAGTGGAGATTTTTGGAGTTGTATCAGGCCTTGTGGTTCGTGAAATATTAATCCCTGTAACTGTTTGTCCACTGTGTCCAAAAAACTGGGAACTTAATTTCGCCACTATCTTAACCGTAAAGCTGAATCTTTAGCCGTTCACTGCCAGTGAGTTTCCTTCGTATACACTGTTTAAACTGAACCGGAAATTTATCATGATACATCAGCTAGCAATCTTTTGGTACTTTCTCGTGGTGGTTAATTCGAAACTTCCCCGACAGAACTAATAACACGACCATGACGCGCAAGTTCTTCAGTAATATCCATTCCGAACTCGATTGTGATATGAACAAAGAAAATTCAAGTCTAGATTTAGAGAGATATGCTGGCTGTATTGTATTTCGAAGGTGAAGTTTTTAGGGTTGTTTCACTTTAATGGGATCGTTTCTGATAATCGGTCAATGCTCCAAACTTCACTACGGAAGTCCATTCTCAGCCCCTGTGGTGCATCAACAATCTCTTCTGTAATCGACCATTTGTTTGTATAATACTTATCTTCAGTATCTAACAATAATTAAGCCAAAAGGGAATCTCGTGTAGTGGACTGTCAGAAACTTAACGAGCGATAAATTGTGTGCAGATGGGTGGAGAAACTCCGCTATTGGTTGAGGGCTGTTGATTTTGCGCGTGGACAAAGGAAAACTGAAGGTCGGGAGCTTTTCATCCGGACTATCGCTTCGTGAATTACGCGGGTTCTCAGCGTCATACGGACACTTCCTCTCTTATCGAAATATTGGTAACAAAGGCTTGTATCTATTCCACCTGGATTTCGTACAAAAGCCAGGCTTAACCGAGTAATACAGCATTGTCTGTGGTGCCGCCCACAACGGAGCTATATCACTTGAACAGACAAGGGATAGTTTACGTTGGGGGTACATTGACGGACGTTACGAAGTCGAGAGAAATAAAGTGTGACAATCGTTATGTTGTCATATTTTACTAAGGGTCCTCATATTTACGGGATGCGCTTGAGAAAACCTCAAGGAAACTCGTAATTCAGGATATAGGTTAAACCTGTTCACACGGCGATTCATCAGGGCGAAATGATCGATTTCATAGTTTATCTTGTCATGATCAGCTTTTTACCCGACCGAAAGGAGTCAGTCACCATCGAGTTCGTTCGTTCTCAATCAACGAAGTAACATCCGCGTGGAGGGCGTAGCTAGAAAACCTTTAAAAACTATTTATTTTAGAGAAAAATCCGTTTATGCTGAACGGATGGGCCTGGTGGTAGACACCATCCAATAGTTAACGGTTTCTGCTAAACATAAATCGATCGACTAGCTTTGCAACAGTAAAGTAAAAGGAATTCTATTATGGTTCGTTTGCTCTTTGATTCATTGGAATTAGGTCATGCATCGCAACACTAATTCCCGGGCTAACCTGTGTGCATTTACTTCTCACTAAGCGTTCAGGTCTGAAGAAAATGCGCTATTCAGTTTTAATTTTGAGGGATGTTTCGTTTTAGAGGATTGAGAAGTTTCAGTTTCTTGTAATTTTCAGAAAAACCAGGCTTGATGCGTTCAGACAAACAGTCTGTTTTTTTCCCACCATCTGTTATTCTTAAAAAAGCTGCAACGTTTTTAGACGAATGATCGGGCGAGTCGCCCTGAGTAGGTGGAAAAACGATTCGGTGAGTGGAAGGGTTTGTGATTTGCTTTCACACTTGACCTAGTCTAGGGGAATTAAAGATCAAATGAACCACGACTGAAATGCTTTCCGAACTTTAAATTGTCCAAGAATTCACTCTTACAGCATTCCTTTCTCTGAGAGAAGCGTTCTACACCGTGCACATCTTCCTATCTCCCAGTTTGTTCACCTCAAACATTTCCAGTTTCATCAGGATCTTCAGACGATCGCACTACCCGTTGTGCCTTAGATGGAAATCCCACCCTTATTCTCTCGCGTCCTGCCTCGAATAGCGTCCAAGTTTCACCGAATCCTTCTCCACCAGTTGAATTTCTTCCCCAGCCTTGATACCCGTTCTAACTAGCTACATTTAACTTGGGTACTCTGATGCGTATAGCACAACAGGCATGTTTTGCTCGTACCCTCTAGACCCCAGCTATTGATGCGTGTTGTATCCAAGAGACTTTCATTCAAGACTCCAGCCCCACCATCCGATTGACGCCCCCATCAAACCCACCAGTGAAGTTTCACTTAAGACTCTCTTGAGACCCTGAAACTGCGGCGTCTGGTCTTGCTAGCGTTGGCGTGGCTCTCAGTGAGCGAGCAGAAGCAGCATTCCCGGACTGGTTCCCAGTTGACAGTAGGTTATGCATTATTATTATTATTATATTTCACACTTGTCTGAGTGTGCCAAGCAAATCATGGTACAATCTTTATAAAAAAGAAAAACGTTCCATGAGTTGCCTGTGGGCGGAATACTGCCCAGGCCAAGGCAGATGGATTTTCTTGAGTAACCCACAACCGAAGCCTTCGGCCAACCAAAGCCTGACCCGCGGGGCGGTGTGTGAAAACCGCAGTCCATTGGGAGCCGGTGTCCAGTTCATCGGATCATACGCCCTTCGGACGGAATCAAAAGTCCGAGGTGCCCAATCGAGC